TCTCTCAGCTTCTTTCTGACTATCACTCACCAAGGCCTTTGATTCACTCTTCGCCATTCCAACCACACACCCTTTCTTCAGATCACCAGCTCTCAGGTCGACAACCACACCGGCCATCCAACCAAACTCCTGCTGTCAGACTTCTTTTCCAATGTATTTTACCCAGAGTCATCTTTATAAAGTAACTTGTGATCATGTCAGTTTCTTGCCTGAAGATTTCCTTTCACAAAGTGCCAGAGGAGTATCTACAGAATAAGATGCAAATTCCTTTTATACGAGGCTCTCCTAAGCGGATCCCTTCTTCTTCAGTCTCGCTTGCTTGCTCATTCATTCATTCTTGTGCTCAGGAAGTGTTGGTTGAATGCCTACTCTGTGTCAGGCACGGGGCAAGCATCAGGGACACCCCCTACCCTGACTGGGCTGGGTCTCACTAAGCCGCAACCTGAACCACATTTCCTCCCTCCTTTCTCTTCCTCAGCTGTTTCCTCCCTCACCTGTTTCTTTCCCCCAGCTTGGTCCTGTTCTTCATCCGTATCTTGGATGTATCTTCCTCCAAGCATCCATCCTGCACCCTCTTATAATCTGGACTGTGCTTTGTAAGTATCCCCAGAGTCCCTGTATACATGTCATTCATGAAGTGATCACATTTTACGTGTATTGCAATTGTTGCTCTTACTGATCTAACAACCCAAATGGTGCAGAAGTTTCTGGACTGGGGGAGTTCTATTTTATTCATTGTTGTGTTCCCCTCACCCAGTACAGTTCTCGGCACACATTCATTAAATCAATCAATTGTTTGACTAATAAGCAAAAATGCTATTGAGGGGCTCTGAGGAGGTGCCTTGTGGGGGATCTGCCACCCAGACATGGGGGTGGTAGAATGGCAGGAATGGAAGATCTCGTAAGTGGTTCCAGAGAAGGGAGCATCACAAGTGTATTTTGAAGGACAACTTGGAAAAGTGATTAGAAGACAGGAGGACAAGAGTCAGGCAGAAAAGTAAGGGAAATAATGACAGTGAGAAGAGTTAGCATAGTCCAAACATAGAGGCATTTTCTGAAATACTTGTAGCTTTATAAAATCAGGTTCCTAAAGTTGGAGAGGACACATGTTGAAAGGTCAGACTAACTAGGGAACTGAAGGGCCATGCTAGAGTTAGCAGTTTCATCCAGACGTTAAGCAAGGAATTGCAAGGACCACACCTGTATTTGCACTGGACACTAGGGTGGCTGCGAGGTAGTGAAGCTGAGAGAAGCAAGTCCGACTGCAGGAAGGGCAGCTGAAACAAGAAACCATCAGGGAGAAACAGAACTGACACGTCTCTCTGATAAGGTAAAAGGAAAAATCAAGGATGAATCTAGAATGACGACTTCAGTTACATCATGCAGGCTGTGTGATCCCCCCGGGCCTTCCAGGTAGAAGTACTCATTTGGTCTAGACAAGTCTGAACTCAGAAATGTTCTAAACCAGATGTATGGGATAGCAGAGGCTATGAGCGTGGTAGGCAAAGTGGGAAAGGGATGAATATAGACATATTCTGTGCATAATTTTTCCCAATAAACTTTTGAGGGTAAAAGGTGAGAATAGTCTGAAGATAAAATACTAAAGTCACCAAACCTTGAAGAAAATTAAGAAGCAACTCAAGAGGCAGGTGGAAACCCAGCAAATCAAGGGAGGTGCTTTGAGAAGGAGGAAGAGGGCAGGAGCTGGGTACAGAGGTAAGGACATCGCTTGGGACACTCACATCCCATGCTGCAGTGCCTGGATTTGAGTTCTGACTTCACTCCTGATTCTTTATTTATTAATTTGAAAGTCAGACTTACACACAGAGAGAGAGAGGGAGAAGCAGAGAGAGAGGAGAGAGACAGAAAAAGAGAGAGAGAGAGAGAGAAAGTCTTCCATCCGCTGGTGTTCACTCCCCAGTTGACTGCAATGGCTGGAGTTGAGCTGATCCAAAGCCAGGAGCCAGGAGCCGAAGCCAGGAGTCTCTTCCAGGTCTCCCACACAGGTGCAGGGGCTCAAGGACTTGGGCCATCTTCTACTGCTTTCCCAGGCCATAGCAGAGAGCTGGATCGGAAGTGGAGCAGCCAGGACTCGAACAAGAGCCCACATGGGCGGCGGCTTTACCCACTATGCCACAGTGCCGGCCCCTTCACTCCTGATTCTAATGCAGACCTGGGAAGCAGCAGTGATGGTTCAGGCAGCTGGTTCCCTGTTACCCATGTGGGAGATCTGGATTGGCTTATTGTAGGCATTTGGCTGTTGTAGACATTTGGGGAGTGATCAGCAGATGGGAGATCTTTCTTTGTCAGTTTCTCTGCATTTCCAATAAATTTTTCAAAAGGATAAAGAAATCAACAGTGTCAAATTCTACATATTGGTTAAGTAGATAAGAACTCTAAAGCATCTATTTAATTAAGCATTTTAAATCCTAGTGAAGGTGGTTTAGCACAGAAAGAATCACATTCACTCATATTAAAGAGTTAAAATTGTATATGTGCGGGTGTAAAAAGTTAAGCTTAAGCTTACAGGTTTAAACCTCCCTGGTACAGCTGTAAAAATATGACAGAGTAAAGTAGCACCTTGACAGTAGGGACTCCATTTTGGAGCACTTGAGACTCCATTCTGAGAAAGCACACCCCCCCCCCCCCCCCCGCGTGAGACTCTGGTCTGAAACTATGATCTCAAATAGTCGGACAATAGCAGTGCACTACATCACCCTTGGCAGAGCACAAAAACACCCTAGCATGATTGCTCAAGCTTAAAAGTAGAAAGGTTGCACCTGGGTTACCTGGGCTAATAATGAAGATGTGATTTGTCTGTGTCTTACATTAATGTCAAGTCCTAATTGCTAATTGTAAGATTGTAACTGGTATTGTCAAGATTATGATGAATATTAATTTCACTTAGGTTTTAGGTTATGTTGACCCCAGTAACCATATACTCTCTTTTGATTTTATGTACTCTCTTTTGATCTTAGCAACCGTGTATTCCCCCCTTCCTGGTTTTGCGGTTTTTGCCTTTATAAACCCTAACCTTTGGTTATTCGGGGCTGCTCTGCTCATGTATGATCAGACAGCCCCAGCATGCTGGATAATCAATAAAGCTTCCCCTTGCTGTTTGCATAAGAGACTGTCTCTTGGTGACGTTTTTTCGGGCGGTCAACTCTAACAATATGTGGAGTCCAAAAAAAAAAGACGATTTCATAGAAATTAAAAGTATAATGGTGGTTACTAGAGGCTAAGGAGTGAGAAGGGGAAAAGTTGATTACTGGGTACTAAATTACAGTTACAATGAAGTAAGAAGTTTTGGGTTTCTATTGCACCCGGTAGAGTATCTATAGATTATGTTAATATACTGTACATTTCTCTATTAAATAAAACTAGAAGATAGGATTTTGGACATTTTCACCACAAAGAAATGATAAACAGTTACACTGAAAATTATGCAATGCAAACATCTATCAAAACATCACGTTAATAAATATATACAGTCTTGTATCTGTTATTTTTTAATTAAAAAATAATATACAGAAAGAAATCAGTCAGTAAAACCCCAGTAAGGCAGTTTCTTGGAGTGACACAAATAGAAAGCAGTGGCATAAGTAATGACCAAGGATGTCATAAAGTGGAGATAGTGAGTGTAGACCACTCTTTTACAACAATTTGGCTGTGAATGGAAAGCAATGTTAAGTGACAGCTGCAGGGGACTGTACAAAGATGTGGAACAGACATGGAGTGGAATATTATTCAGCTATAAAACGAATGAAGCCCTGACATTTGCAGGAAAATAGATAGAGCTCCAGGACATTATGTGAGACACAGAAATAAAACGCCACATGTTCTGTCTCACATATGGAAACTTAAAAAAAGTTAGTGTGACCCTAGAAGAGTGATTACTAGCAGCTGAGAAGGGTAGAGGGAAGGGAAAGAGGGGGAGGTTGATAATGGGTACACTTTGATACAGGAATAAGTTCTAGTGTTTCACAGCCCAGTGGAGTATTAATTCCTAGTGACATATTTTATATTCATGTTTTGTGAAGAACTAAAAGAGAGGGCCCCGAGGCTCTAAACATTAAGAATGATAAGAAAATGCTAATTATCTGATTTGATCATTATACCCTATATATGTATATGTTGAGATACTCCACTCTATCCCATGAAAACATCTAAGTATGCAGGTACTTCAAAGAGTGTGTAGAAAAATGGAATTAAGAGCTTATTTTGTTTATTAAAGTTTATTTTGATGCAAAATAGTTTTTCATAATACACATTTACATAATTTTTGAAGACTCCTGGCATACATTATTTCAATTTTTTTGCATGAAAATAAACATCACTTATTTCCATTTTACATCAACTTTATAAAGTACCTTCACAGTACATGTTAATCCACAATTTTAAATTTTTTTCATAAAAGTCTCCTTTTAGGACAGCAGGAATGTGATCTTTGTTCTCTAAAGAGAAAGAATCAGGGTAGAGGTTGATGATAGAGGTGAGAAAGGTGATAGAGGATCGTTTCAGATCCCTGGAGAAAGTGGAGGGAATGAAATCCAAACACAGGCTCAGACACCAAAGGGCTGTCTTTACATTGGCAGGAAGAGATAAGTAAGAGAGCAGACCCAGGTAAATTTGTGTGTGTTGTGGGGGGAGGGGCGGGAGCTACAAGAAGCCACGTGAGTCTTGTCCAACTGCCTCTATTCTCTCTGAGACATGTTTACAAGGACAGTTTCTGAGAGAGTGGGAAGAGACACCCCAAATGGCAAAGTGAGAGGATGGAGCCATCTGGCTTAAATAGAATTTATATACTGTAAATGTTTATCAGTTTTCCTGGAATCAAAGAACTGTAGGGTAAAACACAATTAACACTAAAAGACATATAAGAGGTCTTCAAAAAGTTCATGGAAAATGCATATTATGAAAATTTCAAAATTTTCACCAAAATAAACTTGTCTTTCAATGCTATTTTCTGCAAACTTTTTCAGGTCCTTGCATACAATGCATTTAATTTTTTTTTTTTTTTTTTTTTTTTTTTTTACATTTTTGCTACTTGAGGAGTACAGGTTCTCAGCTTACAATGGGGCCGCATCCTGGCAAACTCACTGTGAGTGGAAAATACTATCAGTCGAAAGTGCATGTAGTCCACCGGAGCTACCTAGCATCCTAGTTCAGCCAAGCACCACATTGTACAGCACTGGTTCCTCCCCAGCCTGACCTCAGGGGTGACCACCAGCAGCCCTATCTGCCACTGCCCAGCATCACAGGAGAGAATTGGACTACAACTGCCAGCCTTGGAAAAGATCAAAATTCACAACTCAAAGAATAATGTCTCCTGAATGGGACTTGCTTTTGCACTATCCAGAAAACCCTAAGTTTAGCCCATAGTGTTTTTGAAGATGTTTTCTTAAATTATTCAAAGAATTTCTTAAATTACTTCAGCTTCCACTTAGTATGCCATAAAATCTCCCTGGGCGAAGGATCCATCACAGTGCATGTGAGCTTCAGCAGTCTCCCTTCTATAGAACACAGAGTAACATTCAAGTCAGACTGAGTGTAGATGACTCCCTTCTATGGATTATCTCTTTTTTTTTTTTTTTTTTTTTTGACAGGCAGAGTGGACAGTGAGAGAGAGAGACAGAGAGAAAGGTCTTCCTTTGCCGTTGGTTCACCCTCCAATGGCCGCCGCGGTTGGCGCGCTGCAGCCAGAGCATTGCGCTGATCCAAAGCCAGAAGTCAGGTGCTTCTCCTGGTCTCCATGGGGTGCAGGGCCCAAGCACTTGGGCCATCCTCCACTGCACTCCAGGGCCACAGCAGAGAGCTGGCCTGGAAGAGGGGCAACCGGGACAGAATCTGGCACCCCAACCTGGACTAGAACCCTGTGTGCCGACACTGCAGGTGGAGGATTAGCCTAGTGAGCCTGGATTAACTTTTGTACTATAGAAAATTGTGAGTTGAAAATTGAAAAACTCATTATGTAAGAAGGAATAATAAACCTATAAGCCTTACACTTAAAACTTAACAAAAGTGTTTGTTGATTACTTAGTCTTAAAACCCGTGGGGCCAGAGCTGTGGAGTAGCAGATAAAGCTGCTGCCTACAGCACTGGCATCCCATATGCGGGCCGGTTCAAGTTCCAGCTGCTCCACTTCTGATCCAGCTCTCTGCTGTGGCCTGAGAAAGCAACAGAAGATGGCCCAAGTCCTTGAGCCCCTGCACTTGCGTAGGAGACCTGGAAGAAGCTCCTGGCTCCTGGCTTCAGATTGGCCCAGCTCTGTCCATTGCGGCCATTTGGGGAGTGAACATCGTGTGGAAGACTCTCTCTCTCTCTCTCTCTCTCCCTCTCTCTAACTCTGCCTTTCAAATAAATAAATCAATCTTAACAATAAAAAAAAATAAGCTGGGACAGGCATACTAAAATACATTTTAAAAAAAGACCACAATAAGTCAAACTTACGAGGATCTCACTATTTTTGAAGCTTAAACAAGTAACATTTCTTTCAACCACAAGTAACCAAAATCTTTATTTAAAAACAAAGCTACATGAAATAAATAGGCCAAAAGAATAGATTTTTTTTGCCCTCCCACTTCTACCTCCCCACCTTATTTTCCCCTCAAAATTTTCCAACCTCCTACTTAGTGATAAGCACTTGTACTTTTTGTAGAGCTCTGCTACTGTTCTATAAATATTTATTGTGCTTATTTAGGTAAATCACACTAAAAAAAAAACCGCAGAGATTTTTTTAAAGCATGAGTGAATTAATAAACATTTGTTTAACCTGAAATCAGCAACAATTATGTTATAAGCCAAGTTGGCAATTTTAACTACCTGTATGCCACTGATGGAAGCCACGTTGCTAGAGCTGATTTTGATTTGCTGGGAAACTTTGGGTTACATTCTAGGTTCCTGTCTGAGATTGACCTGCCTGGAAACACATTCTGAAGCCAAAAGTTGCATGCACAAGATTCATTACAGGACATCTCTAAAGAGCTTCTCTTGGAAAGAACACAGCAAAGCAGACTTGGGCAAAGGAAGCAGCCAGTGCACGATGAATTTGCAACTGAAATGTCAGTTAATCTAAAAAGGAGCTGGAATGGTCCTTCTGACTTGTCTCAAATGCAATTGGACTGTGCCACAGCTTTGCACCTATGCATCAGCTAAGCGTTGGTTTCAGGCTGCCCCATAGGACAGCAGCACACAGAGAAACACACAGCTGCAAGCTGTCAGCTGACATTCTCAGCAGCTGGGGCTCCATATGCAAGCCTGAACAGGGCTGGGTGGAGCAACATGGCGAACACTCCTGAACTTCCCAGATCCACTTGTCTTAACAATGTGGTCCACCGAGGAGTAGCTTCTCTAGGAGTTTGGTTGGGAAAAGCCATGCTTTCTAAACAACATAGCTTTTGCAATCAAGCTGAGGGCCATGCCTGATACCCATCGTCTTCCTCCACTCTCCGCCCTCATCTAGCACCTCTAGGCAGCTCACCTGGGAGGGTAACTCAGATCTTCACTTCCACTCCGGGGGAACTGAGCCTCTAGTCACCATTGCCCTGCTTAGGCGCTGATTATGGTGTCCATTTACTTGTGACAGGAAGGCATGGGGAAGCCAAAACGGGCTCCAACAGATCTCCTGAGAGCCAGACTTATTCCTCCCCACACCCACTGTGCAGAAGTGCCTCTACCACCTCCTCATGACCGGGGCAATTCCTCTTGCCAGGATATGATTCATTTTCTTGCTTGTTAGTATCTTCACAAATGGAGCCCCAAGTGACTGGATGGCAGCTTAAGCTTAAAATGTAAAGGAGTAGGGTGAAGTAGGCATTTTTTTTAAAGATTTATTTATTTATTTATTTATTTGAAAGGCAGAGCTACAGAGAGGCAGAAGCAGAGGGGGAGAGAGAGAAAGAGAGAGAGAGAGAGAGAGAGAGAGAGAGAGGTCTTCCCTCTGCTGGTTCACTCCCCAGATAGCTGCAGTGGCCGGAGCTGCGCCAATCCAAAGCCAGGAGCCAGGAGCTTCCTCCAGTTCTCCCAAGCAGGTGCAGGGGCCCAAGGTCTCGAACCATCTTTCACTGCTTTCCCAGGCCATAGCAGAGAGCTGGATTGGAAGTGGAGCAGCTGGGACTCGAATTGGCGCCCACATGGGAGCCAGCACCGCGGGCAGTGGCCTCACCTGCTACATCACAGCATCTGCCCTCAGTAGGCATTTGACCTATGATAAAGACACTAGTTATGACAACCAAGACTCAGATCAGCTAGGTTCAACATCCAGGTCCTGCTGCTGATCTCAGCTTCCTGCTCATGTGGTCCCTGGGAGACAGTGTTGATAGCACAAGTAGTTGGGTTCCTGCAATCCACATGGGAGACCTGGACTGAAGGCACTTGCAGAGGGGACCAGAAGATGGGCTCACTCTCCTCTCAAATAAATACATAGAGATGTTTAACAATTTTAATTGGGGCCAGGCTGTAGTGTAGCAGGTAAAGCTGCAGCCTGTGATGCCAGCATCCCATATGGGCACTGGTTCAGGTCCTGGCTTCTCCACTTCCGATCTTGCTCCCTGCTAATGATCCTGGGAAAGCAGCAGAGGATGGGACCAAGTGCTTGTGCCCCTGCACCCATTTGGGAGAGTGGGAGGAAGCTTCTGGCTCCTGGCTTCAGACTGGTTCAGCTCCAGCCATTGCCGTTATTTGGGGAGTGAACTGGAGGATAGAAGATCTGTCTTTCTGTCTCTCTCTTGTGCTCTGTCTGTAACTCTGCCTTTCAAATAAATAAATAAATCTTTAAATTTTTAAAATTAACTTATTTTATTTAGAAGGCAGGAAAAGAGCCACAGAGAGACAGAGGTCTCTCATGTGCTCTCTTCCTGCCATAGTTGGGGCTGGGCCAAGCCAAAGACAACAGCCAAGAATTCAGTCGAGGACTCCCACATGGGTAGCAGGGAACCGAGTACCTAACCCAACACTTACTGCCTCCCACTGGTGCATTAGCAGGAAGCTGGAATAGGGAGCGGAGCTGGGACTTGGGCCCAGGCACTCCAATATGGAATATGAGTGTCTCCACCAGCTTCTCACTATTAGGCCAAACAGCCACCCCAAAATTTTTTTAAAATGCAAAGAAATACTTAATTATGCCCTTGGATAATAGGGCCTCAGGACCCACTAAATCCAAAGCAGGGGTGAAAAGTTCAGATGTCTCAAATAAGTCACTGGGAATGATGATATAAATAGATTTCCATTCTGCTCCTTGGTTCCTGTACCCTTGTATTTTATCTATTAGATACCAGACAGTGGTTGTTATCGCCCATTTTGAGAGATGGTACCAAACTCACAGGGTTTCATCTCCAAGATGGAGTCCCAGATGCATCTTTAAGAGTCTGTTCTTAGGCCGGCACCACGGCTCAATGGGCTAATCCTCTGCCTGTGGCGTCGGCACACCGGGTTCTAGTCCCAGTCGGGGCACCGGATTCTGTCCCGGTTGCTCCTCTTCCAGGCCAGCTCTCTGCTGTGGCCAGGGAGTGCAGTGGAGGATGGCCCAAGTGCTTGGGCCCTGCACCCCATGGGAGACCAGGAGAAGCACCTGGCTCCTGGCTTTGGATCGGCGCGGTGCTCCGGCTGCAGCGCGCTGGCCGTGGCGGCCATTGCAGGATGAACCAACGGCAAAGGAAGACCTTTCTCTCTCTGTCCACTCTGCCTGTCAAAAAAAAAAAAAAAAAAAAAAGAGTCTGTTCTTAGAGCCAGCACTGTGGCATAGCGGGTAAAGTCCCAGCTGCTCCACTTATGATCCAGCTCTCTGCTGTGGCCTGGGAAAGCAATGGAAGATGGCCCAAGTCCTTGGGCCCCTAAACCAGCATGGGAGACCCAGAAGAGGCTCCTGGCTCCCAGCTTTGGATCGGCACAGCTCCAGCTGATACAACCATCTGGGGAGTAAACCAGACGATGCAAGACCTCTCTGTGTCTTCCTCTCTGTAACTCTGCCTTTCAGATAAATAAATAAATCTTTTAAAAAATTTTTTTAAAAAAGAGTTTATTCTGCCACCCTATCAGACTGGTGACTTTTGGAGGACCTATGAGGAAACTTCAAAAGTTCAAACAAAAATAGAATTTAAATAATAAGCTTTCTTTGGTTCCAAAAATGTTTGAAATCTAAGCATAGTTTTTCATAATATACAACTTTTCATAGCATGTGAGAACCGGTGGACCCCAGGGCCATGTGCCGTGTGTCTTGTGCTGTAAAGTGGGTCCCTGGGTGAATCTGAAAGACTACAGCTCATGATGGGCAGCTCCAGCTGCAGGTTTCCTTGTTGTTTCAGGTACATCTTCACCATGTTCATTTCATTGCCTAGCCTGTCTTATGACTTTTTGAAAGAAAAATGTCAACAAAGTTTGCAAACCTTTTTCAAATACTTACTCTTTTTTTTTTCTTTAGAAAGTAAAAGGAGACACAGATTTAGCAGAGGAGATTAGCAAGCAAAATGCAGCTTATATTTATGGTCTGCATTTTTCAGAAACTTAATGAAGTATTATTTCAACTTCCAGCAAAATCAGGTTTTTTTTAAAAGAGTGCATGTTAAAAGCCTTGACTGGAAAAATGGAATTTTTTTTCAACTTAATGAGAAACTTAATGAGCAAATGATTTCATGGCACACAGGAGTTAACAAACCAATGTATTAACTCACTGTGTGAGAACGAGCTTAAGAATTATTAAAATAGTTTAGGAAGTGAAACTTCTAACCAGGAATCAAGCTGGAGTGGTATGGCTTAAGAAGAGCCAAAATTCAGAGCAGAGTACTTCTCTCGTAATTCAGCGTGACATTCCAATAGTGGAACTACCTACCTGTTTATTCACGAATTCCTCAAAGTATTTCTGAGAATCCCAGAGGGTTGTCTCACAAGCATTAATTAATTAGTGCAGGCCGTACACTTTCCTAAGTATGGCTGGCCTCTGCGGCGCTGGGGCTCTGTGGCAGTTAAACGCCAGCAGGAGAGCTGCTTAAGTGTTGCTGCCCGCCACTGCCACGTTCACGTTCTCCACCAGGTACAGATCCTTGCCAGGCGCTTCAGCTTCCCGTCCTTTCACTTCTGCAACTACTGTCACAGCTCAGCAATGACCTGCAAAGTGAGAATGAAACAGCTTTCTTCCATCCATATTACACTGTGTTAGAGGGTCCTGTAGTAATTTTTGTTAAAGCTGAATGTGTCTTAAAGATTAAAAAAAAAAAAATCCACTCTAAACAAAGAAACAGAAGTGCTCTTTTCAGTTCCTGTATCTTTTATTGCTAAATCCAATTCACACTGGGCTTATTTGCAACAGGATAAATTGCATTTGAGGGGCTGGCTCTGTGGCTTAGCGGGTTACGCCGCCACATGCAACAGGAGCATCCCATGTGGGCACCAGTTCAAGTCCCGACTGCTCCACTTCCAATCCCTCTCCCTGCTAATGCGCCCAGGAAAGCAGTGGAAGACGGTCCAAGTCCTTGGGCCCCTGCACCCATGTGGGAGACCTGGAAGAAGCTTCTGGCTCCTGGCTTCAGACTGGTCCAGCTCTGGCCATTGTGGCCATTTGGGGAGTTAACTAGCGGATGGAAGTTTTCTGTCTTTGCCTCTCTCTCTTTCTCTGTAGCACTGCCTTTCAAATAAATAAATATTTAAAAAAAATTGCCTTTCAGATTTAACTGTCCTTTTATTGTAATTTGTTCCCAGTAGCTGCCAATATTGTCCAGAGATCCAAGATTTGACTCTTCCACTTGTTTCCCAGAAGGTTTATCGGCATCTGTTTAAATCAAATCAAGAGTAGTACTACTTGCAAGTAGTTGTGGGAAGGAACTTTAGTATTTCTGTACAGGACTAAATTCAAATGTGCGTTTTGACCAAGTGAGGATTGCAATCACAAGGTAAATATAAAAGATGTGTACCGTGCAACCTAAAAAGTACGTGTTTCTCTGGCAAGCATTTAGCCTAGTGGTTGAGATGCCTGTGTCCTAAATAGGGAGTATCTAGGTTCAATGCCCAGCCTCGGCTCCTGATTCCAGCTTCTGACTACTGTGGGTCCTGGGAGGAGCAGTGATGGCTCAGGTGATTGGGTTCCTGCCACCCATGCAGGAGACACGGATTCCGTTCCCAGGTCCTGGCTTTAGCCTGTTCCGGTCTGGTTGTTGCAGGTTTACCAACTGGCAGACAGGAGCTCTGTCTCTGCCTCTCAAATAAATAAATTCTTAAAAATTAAAAAAAATTTCTATATTTTTCTTAGGGGACCCCCAAAAGAACCAGGATTCTTGAGATTTGGACTCTAGTCTTGTCTCTGTTGCTAATTTTCCATGTGACCTCTTGCCATAAATCTATTTCTTAGCATATTGTATTAATTTGCAAGGTGGCTTTGAAAATCAAATAGGGTGCCAAATCAGATGTGAAATATTCTTACTTCTGTGATTTGAACATTCCACCTATTTATGACATTCACTCTGTCTTTCATAGTCTTAGTCCTCTAAGGGGTATGCAAGATAAATTATTTTAGAGGAGCCTTAAAATTAGAATGGACTTGGAGATTATATAGCTCTACTCCCAAATTGTTTTTCAGGTGAAGAAACAGAGGCCCCAAGAGGAAAGAATTATCTAGATGGTGGAGGGTGGAATGGGTCAGGAACCGGGTCCATCCATACCTAGGGCTCATTTCCCCTCATCACAGAAAGGAGTCCGCATGGATATGACTTCTCTCTTTGCAGAGATTATTCCACAAACACAGTCGTCCAGCACACTTTTTCACTGGGTCTCCAAACCATGTGACATTTGTTCACACCAGTCCTTATTTTCAGAATTTCCATGCACCAGTATTAATGAAGTATAATTTCTAGGACAGCAACAATAATGCTGTTTGTTGAGTTCCTTTTCAATGTCGGGCACTATTCAAGGTACTGAAGATATGGCATACAACAAGACAGACAAATATATGGCATACAACAAGACAAATATATGGCATATAACAAGACATGGCTCAAGCCGTTGGGTTCCTGATACCCATTGAGGAGACCTGTATTGAGTTCTCTGGCCCAGCCCTGGACGTTGTGAGCATCTCGGAGAGTAAACCAGCAAATAAGAACAGTCACTCTCTCTGTCTCTTGCCCTCTGTTTCTTAAGAAATAAATAATTGTTTGACATTAAAGAAAAAATATATCTATCTCGGCCCATAGATGCTATGAGAATCACCTGTATGTCTCAGGTACAAGGGTATTTCAAAATATTCTTAGAAGAATGGAATTAAAAAAGAATATGAATTCACCAGGAGTAATTTGAAGACCCTGCACATGTGCATCACACTGTCACATGTATTTTGCATTCCTTCTCTTAACCAGGATCTGCCCTTCACTGGGAAGGAAGAGTGCAGAGCAAGCTTTTCCCACTTCTCAGTCCCACTCTCTGCCCTATATTTTGTAGCAGAGAAAATTCATTCAGCTGCTCAATCCTCCTGAATCCTCCCCAGGCCTACTGACAGTCAGCTACGAGATATATGTGCATTCTTGAAAGGGTGGGAACAGGTGAAACACTGATACATGGAACTGAGATCCAGGAGCCAAAGGGCCATGGATGAAACCAAGATGGACAACTAAAGGTTAGGACGTAGGCAAAATCTGCAACGTCAACCAATGGACCATTGAGATATAGACTGGAGGGGCTCACACCAAGAAAGGGAGAAGGAATCAGAGGGGTGGTTCAGTAACACGTGGAGAGCCTCTGCATCATAGTGTCCTTGGAATTTACATACATTAGCCATTTTATGTGATTTTGATGTCTTTTGAGATATGCTTAACTTGTGTATCCACCACAACAGCAATATGTGATTTTGATGTCTATTGAGATATGCATAACTTGGATATCCACACAACAGCAATGTGATAGTATTTATAGTATTTTAGGACGGAAGCCTGTTTTTCCACTGACTTCTCTTCTCAGCTATTTCTTCCTATAGGTCCTAGGATGACAAGCTCTGAGATTTGTCTTTGCTCCTACAGAAAAGAATCTGTGAGGTGCTGGTATCAAAAAGACCTTGAGGCAAACTCTTGTCCCTGAACCTGGTTATCCCCAGTCTTGTGAAGAGTCTCAGGCATGGAGTTTGAAGAATGCCCACACAGCAATAGTCAGAGATGCCTGTGGCCTGAACACACAGAGGGGTGGGGGAACCATCAGCTCAAGGATCCTGACATTTATCTGTCCCCCTACAAAAACAGCTCACTGGAAGGTCTTCCTTTCGTCCTTTATGATTCTAGAAGAATGGACCAAAAGTGAGGGTTGGAGGTGTCAGAACGAGAAAGTGTTCACTGAGGCAACAAAGAATGTGTGCATAATTCCCAAGACCCATCCCAAACCTTCAGGCACAGTAACTGTTTAGCTTTGTGATCCCTGATAATAAGATGCTTTTGGGAAGCTTTGGCTTACTTGGTGCTGCCATATAATTTCCACTTATGCAGGAGGGTAACTAACCTGTTTTTGCAAGTCCAGGTTATAAAATTAATCAACTTATTGAGACTGCCTCTGGTTCTTCATCGGCAAGTTCTGACACATGTACACCAAAGAAACTTTATACATTTTCCAATAGAAGAGCCAAACAGCTAATGTTTCTGCATAACCCACAAAAAATCAAAGGGAAAACATTATCCACCCAATTTGGACAAATTTGGAAAGTATGACTTGCCAGAAGCTTAAGGCACACGGAAAGAAAACCAAGCAAGGATAAATACTGAGCACTGTACGGTCTGCTTTACTGCTTCTGTTACAGTTTTTCATTTTAAGATGGTTGTCTTAAAAAAATCCCTGTTAAAAAAATATATACAACTTGTAGTGGAAATTAACATCTAGAGGAAAAATATATTGTAAATGCTGTGTTTATAGCCTTTTTTTTTTTTTACAGGCAGAGTGGACAGTGAGAGAGAGAGACAGAGAGAAAGGTCTTCCTTTTTTCCGTTGATTCACCCCCCAATGGCTGCTGCGGCCTGCGCGCTGCACTGATCCGAAGCCAGGAGCCAGGTGCTTCTCCTAGTCTCCCATGGGGTGCAGGGCCCAAGCACTTGGGCCATCCTCCACTGCACTCCTGGGCCACAGCAGAGAGCTGGCCTAGAAGAGGAGCAACTGGGACAGAATCCAGTGCCCCAACCGGGACTAGAACCCCGGGTGCTGGCGCCACAGGCAGAGGATTAGCCTAGTGAGCCATGGCACCGGCCTGTTTATAGCCTTTTAAATGTTTTGGTAGCATTTCATTCTGAGGAAAACCACATTTGTTTTGGAAGAGATGACCACATCACTCAGATACCCAGAAAAGGTGAGCTCTGCTGTCCCAAGATGTACTCTGAGATTCTCTCACCTACCCTGCTCAACCTGGCTGCCCATATTACTACATGAAAAATAAAGGTTTTCTTTGTAGCACTAAATCAGAATTGCATGGAGATTCACAGAAATGCTAGAAGAATTACCATTGAGCAAAAGCTTATTATTTAGCAGTGTTTAGCAGGAATTCAACTGACTCTATATAGAACCTGAAAATGTTTCTTATCTAGAGACATGAACAAATTTGAACTTTGGCCCAAAGAAAGAATAATTACATGATATTAAATTGTATCACAACCATAACATGCTCACAATCTGGCAGGTGAATTTAAAACTCCGACAGCAGTGTAGAATTCTTACATGAATGCTGTATTTTTCTTTGACCCTTCACTTTCACAGAAATCAGATAAACCGAAACTGGTTTGAACTGGATTTTGAGACTGTGGTTTACAATGAAGAAATTTTGTGTTGTTGCAACTGAAAAATGATGCATCATAGGAAAAATTAGTCACTTTATAGATGGCAAAGATGAGGATAAAGGTGAAAAAGCTTTTCAACTGGTTGGAATACTGAATATAGGTAGAAATCAATTTTCTCTATTTGTAATTCATTTGAGATTGATAGCTTTCACAAATGGATAAGGAAATTGATACGTATTGTTTGCCCAAAGCAAACTATAATATCAAAATTTCTCTTTCTGAAAAATGTTTGTTCTAGTTGCTAAATGTCTCTTATTTAATAATTTTATTTGCAATTGAATTCAGAAGACCTTTATAAATATCAATGTTACATTAATT